GGAACGTGCTGCACTGTAGAGCATCTGTAGTCCTTGGTTTGGGGTAATACGGCCGGATTGAAGAGTTGTTTCAAGCAAGCATGACTTTGAGATCTCATTCAATGTTATAAACCAAAGATAAAAAGACACAAAACAAAAGCAAAACAAAAAACAATAACAATAACAAAAAAAGGAAGCAAGCTGAGACTGACTTGATAGGGAAACTTGTTCATCTTCTCAGTATAAAAATGATGAAGAACACTTCATGCACTTTGTACAATGTGATTTGGGTCTTCTTGTCCCTCCACAAGTTTTTCAAAGGAGATTCAGGAGTATACTTTAAACAAAAACCCAGTTCAGGGAAGTGCAGATTAACAAAAAGCAACAAGTGAGTATGATGGTGTGAAATATGTAGGAGAAAAAAAGAAAAACAATCATGTCCAAATTTTGTGAAGGGGGAGAAGGAGGAGAAATTTCAAGCAGACTACTTGCAACCCACAAGTTCCTCTGTTGTGAGAAGCCCTTCAACACAATTTTCTTTCAATCTCAGACCCCTGTCAAGGCCTGATAATGAGCCAGCTATGGAACATTTCCCAGGATTCCCTCTTGGGTGTATAGTGGACTCAAATCTTTGACAGGAAGAAGCCAAAAGACATTGCAAGGAGTAACTTAACCAAGTCCCTCAATGCTGAGACATCTGTCTGTCAAGCAAGTCAAATCTGCATGTCTCAGCATGAGGGACTTGCATCTAATTTTGTGTTATTGGCCTGAGGCCTAGGGATTTCATTGCGGATGAAATCTTGATCTGTACTTTTGCATGATCTCACCAAGGAATCTTTTACAACACTTCATGGGGATATGCGCTGACCCCCTCTTCAAAATTTACAAGTGGAATTGTTGAGATTTCCTGGTTGCTCACTGAGCTACATAATATGCTACTTTGTGATTTTCACACATAGCTCACATGTAGCTCTGATAAGTTGGGGACTTACTCCTATAAACCACAGAGCTAAATGTGAGCTACATGTGAAAATGTCAAATTAAAACAACATGTAGCTCAGCACGCAACCAAGTAATTTTGATCATTCAAGCTCTACATTTTGAAACACATGGCAGCACATATGCCCATGATGCGCAGTAAAAAGATCCTTGGTGAGCTCACAGAAATGGGGAAATGAAGATTGCCTCTGCAAAGGAATCCTTACCCCTCAAGCCAAAATGTTGAGTCTAGATGTAAGTCACTGTCCCTCATGCTGAAACATGTGCATTCAACTTGCTTGAATGACAGCTGTCTCAGCATTGAGGGACTTGGTTGAGAGCATACACTTTTCTCTTGGTAAATGACCTTGGTATGGTAAATTTTACTGAAATTTACCATATCAAGCTTCAAAATCTGCAATTGTTTCCAAAGTACAGATTGGTACATAGAGAATCAATCCCAAAATTGATAGGAGTCCAGTGAATTTAATGGACCTCTACCAAATTGGTATTGGCAAATTACTAGACTGTTACTGAGCTATGCATCACCCCACCACTCCCAAAAACCAGAGTTTGACACAACACCTCCCCTTTTCTGCTCTGTTTTCAAATTGGCTGTTTTCAATCCTTTTCTTTTTGAATTGATTGTTTGAAACTTGATTGTTCTTCAAATGATTGTTTTTTGAGCTGATTGTTTTGAAACTGATAGTTTTCAAACAACCCTCATTGAGCAACAACAAAAAGTCTTACTTCATGCTTTGAGAGTTGCAGTTTGTTTCAAAATGCATGATAGTGGGAGGGAGTCTGTTTTGTTCAGTAATGATATTTGCTGAAACAAAGCTTGGTTGATGTCTGGTCTTCTAGTCATGATAGCTTGATAACTTGGTAGTTGAACAAACTCCAGGGCCATGTGTCAATTCAAGGAAACTTCAAGTTTTCTTTTTCAAAAATTCAAGATACTGTTCTTGTTTTCCATATTTTTTGGCTGACCAAGGGGTCAAAGTTGAAGACATGCCCAGACACGTGCCCGGACTTGTACTTTGTATCCCGTAAATGTTTGACCCAACCCATAATGTCTGCAATAACACAGATTGTAACTCTTGTGAAACTTTGCAATTCCAACCTGAGATTGCTGTTGATGAACACATATCAGTTGCAAATGATGATGCTTGTAAATGTAAATCTTGTACAATTATGATTGGTGTATATCAAGTGGATGCGATTTTATTGTTTTTCTTTGCGCCTCTTGTGCCCTCTTGTGCCCCCAGCCAAATAGTGGGCGTGCCCAACCCCTCTTGGGTGCAACCGGGCGCACCTTTTTTGAAATATTGCGCCCACCACATGACACCCATGCAATTAAACTTAACAAAATCCCACGCTCGTGCATCCTCGCAAGGTGTCGAGCAAGGGACTTACGCCAAATGTGTACGCTCCAAAACCTCAGAGATTTGGGTTTGGCAGGGAGCTTGCTTCAAGTCCTTATACCTTTTTCCACACCAAGGATTTGGATATAGTCCAAAGAGAGAACTTGTGCGCTGATATCTTGCACTGAGACTACAATTTTTTTTCCCAAGGAAGTTAATCCCTTCTTTCCAAAAATGTGCTTCAAAGATTGGGTCTTAGCAGCAAATTTGGACTCGAGAGAGAGGTTACATGTGTAATCCTCTGTTAAGAGCCCAATATGCGCATTTTAGGCAAGAGGGAAGCACTTTCCTCGGGAAAAAATATGTA